AATCCGCTGCAGTCCATTAGCCAGCTCACTCTCCACAACATACAACGCAACCTGGGTTTGGCTTGCAACCCCTGCAAACCGTTTCTAGATAGCGTGGCGGTTAACACACTAATACCAATAATAATACCAATAATAATACCAACACATATACTATAGTAGTTTCCATTTTCTTTTCCACTATCCCTATATAGCCCCTATATAATCCCTATATAAACCCTATATAACTACCAACAAAGAAACAAGCATCCCAAGGCAACATCCAGCAGCTGTTAGGAAAGTGGAGGGCAGGGCCAACAACAGCGCCTTCGGGACAACCTGGGTTGCTGTTAAGGAACTTAATTTAAGTTACTATATTGGGGAAACCCTATTATTTACTAGATATACCCATTATGAGAACTTAATTTAAGTTCCTTAACAGCAACCCAGCAACAGATCCTTTAAGTTTTAGAAGCGCGCCAAGGCCATCATCATAGGTGATCATCACCGGCCGAGGGTCAAACTTGCTAACTGAGGCTTGACCCGACCGGCTGCAAATCAAGGCGGACAGAGATGGCTGTTTGCACCAAGTCAAGGAGTCCCTTCTGGGGGTCCCTGCAGCAATCAGTAGCTACATATGTATGTACATGGTTTAGGGTCTAGGGTGAACGGTACATATTACTTTTTGGATACATGAAGGGACACCCAGTTTGCCACACCCAAATTGTCACGAGGGCAAGTGTGCAAACAGGACTGTCAGCTCCAAGTTCCGACGCTACCGTAAGCTAAGGGCACAGTTGCATACTGCAATAACGTTGCAGTATTTGGTATTTTCCATAAATGGGGGACCCCAACAAAGACCGCCAAATACTATAACCCTTCTTCTAAGGACCCCTAAATAAAAAGGTACCCCGAATTTTGGTAATCCCCATTTGCTACTGCAAGCACAAGACAAGACATGGCGGCAGTGCTTCTCCCAGCTCAACTCCCGTGGGTCTCTGGACGTCCACAGACAGGCTGGGGCTGGAGCGAACAGACCGCATGGATGGGGAGAGCCTAGGTTGCTATCGAAGAACTCAAATTAAGTTACCATAATGGGTATAATGATTAATATGGCTTCCCCAACGCAATAACTTGAATTGAGTTAGATTAAGTTACCATAATGGGTATACATAGTACTTAATGAGGTTTCCCCAAGATGGTAACTTACCTTAAGTTCCTTGACAGCAGCCCAGCAGCCAGGCCTTGAAGGGTGCTGAATTTGAGTTGCAGTTGCCGGCTCCCTCCTTGGAGCTCACAGCGTGTTCGGCCCCAGGCTCCACAAAGCTCGCAAATCCCGAATCCTGACCAGAGGCATCTGTGGGTGTAAAGGGAGTCCACGCACCAGTGCTAATCAGCGTCTCATCTTTTCGCCTGGGAGAAGGCGTCTTTGGTGGCAGACACGTTGAGAAGTCTTGCCCCGTGCTTGCGGCATATGCGCTGGGGCTCATGGAGACGTGGCTCAAGAATATCGAGATCTCCTGCTCCTCGTCTCGCGAGAAACTCAAGGCAGCTTCTGCCCCAGGTCCATCGAGCTTGGGCACCTGCCTCAGGTTCGGCGGCAGTTGCGGTGGATCTGGGCAAGTCATGAGATTCTGCGCTGGCCACGGAAAAGGCGGCGCAGGGGGGGCTGAGAGATGTCTGCCCCTTGATCCACCATACCCTGTGTAGAGCCTGTCTGGAGAGGCTGCCCATGCAGGAGGACTGTTCACCAGTAGCTGCTTCCACGCAGGAGGACTGTTCTCCAGTAGCTGCTTCCGTGTCAGTGCGCCTTGCAAGTTCGAAGTGCTGTCAGCAGCACCTTGAGCATCGGCATCTTCAGCAGCATACGCAGCTCGTGGTAATGGCGAGGCTTGTCCCACGTGGGAGGCTGGGGAAGCAAGCAAGGTAAAGTCATCTCCCATGTTCGGACGCATGGCGAAGGTTGATCTCAGCTACATAACTGGAAGCCAGTCTGCCGTGTCTGAACAAATGGCATGAAGGTCACTCTATTGTAGACACTCATTTGTTTCACCCCTTGCCGTCTCAGCTGCTACACAAGCCGCGGAACAAAACTATCACTGTCATGCACCAAGCTCGCGATTCATATTATAATAGTTTCCATCTTATTTTCCATTAACCCAAATATAACCCAAATACAACCCTAATATTATCCCTTAGACCCTACTAAAGCTCCTTGAGGCTTGCTCGGGCCGGCCGGTTAGATCTGATGCAAGCACAACCTCAAGCTGGTCGAGGCCTCGCAAAAAATTAGGTGACCTTTTTCTCAATATTGGGGGGTTCTATTGGGGTTATATTGGGGGGTTCTATTGGGGTTATATTGGGGGGTTATATTGGGGTTATATGGGGATAATGGAAAAGAAAATGGAAACTACTATAGTATAATAGGTGGTTCTGAGGCTCCTGTAATGACGAGTAGCATGTTGGCGGGGGGGGGTATAGAAGATGGACGACTATGTCTTGGAAACTCCCGAATGACAACTACTGTACTGTATATGATGGTGCTCCAGTACTCCAAGCCGGCCATTTTTCCGTTCCAGCAGCCAGTCTACAAGCAGGCCGACACAAGGCACGACAGCTGGTGAAACGAGTGTTACCTTGAGGAGCTCATGCCAACTTACATACATGGGTCTGGCAAGGTCAGTGCCGCGTGCAATTCTGAAAGGCACGGCGCGGCGCTGCGACGTCCACCACCACCTGCACCGCGAAAGATGCAAGACTTCGAAACGCGTGCAATCACAGCTCAGAGTGCTTCCCTTTATCATTCTGCGCTGCATGGAAACTTCTTTGGACCACTCTTTGGACCCAGGGTACGATGAAGCTTGGCAAGCGTTGGTCGGGCCTAATGGTGAAACACGCACATGCTGGCACAACAAAAGAGAATGAAAAGCGACCACCTTCAGGCATGCTAGGCTTGGCTCGTTGCTCTGTCAAAACCATGGTGTGCTAAAGTATCAACAGCTTCTGTCACCATCCGTAAACCCTAAACCTCTAAACCCTCAACCCCTAAACCCTGAACCATCTCTTCGGGAGTCCAAGCCCAGTACCATCAGATGACAGCGGCTCAGACATTGATTCTTCTGTCGCAGGTCCCCTGGAGTTCCGCAGTTGCATGACAAAAGCAGCTTGCTGGTTCGTTCAAACCCTCCTCTTGTGGTGTTACTCTTCCTAATATGTGGCGCAAAAGGTCCAGAGAAACATGCACGTCCCTGCAGAGCTCCTCGGCATTCAGATGGAAGCCCTGGAAACCTTGGGGCAGGTCATCCGAGATGGTTACAGGCACGCACAAATCTGGTTGGTGACCGGCTTCGATACCTCTGAGGTTGCAACAACGGTCGCACTTCGCTGGCCCAGCTTTGTCACAGCTGCTGCACCTGTCTGCGCAGCCCACACACCTTATTCTGATCAGTCGCTGCGCACACATTCTCACGCGCGATTCGCAACGAGAAGCAATGTCAGGCCAAGCAGCTTTCCATCGCGCGCGACCCAGCCAGTTCGGCACACTTTGCAATCGTCGATCGAAACACATTCAGCGCAGAATTCCCCGCAATCCTGGCAGAGACCTTCCAGAACAACATCCAGTCAGCCGCGCTGCCAAAATAACATCTGACAATTCAATACAATAGTACTAATTACTAATTATTCTAATAGTAATAATAATAATAGTACTAATAATAGCAATAATAATAATAGTAATAATAGTAGTACTAATAATAGTAATTACAACTTTCAAACCCGGCCTGAGGAAGTCACCCCAAATCCTTTTCGGCCTGGACAGCTTCAGGGTCAGATGCTGCAATTACACTCCCGGAAACGAACATGGAAACCCAAAAAGGGCCCGGGTTCAGGGTTTAGGGTTTAACATGGAAACCCAAAAAGGGCCCTATAAAGACTACAGTCCCTTTAACGGGGGGCTATATATGGGTTTCCATGTTAGTTTGGGGGAGTGTATCACCTTATAACCTGTCATTGCTATAAACCAAGTTGACACCCTGAAAACTCTGAGTCCTACCTTAGACGAAAGGTCTTCAGCCAAAGGACCCGCGAAATGAAATCCTTACATGGGCCATAATCATAGTCTTAACTCCTAGCCCTTAGGTCCTAGTATCCCGCTGGATAACCCTTAGATACCACCCATATAATCCCCTATGTAAACCCCATGAAGGAATTTAGACCCTAAACCCTCTCTCCTATATAACCACCCTTTAAGGAGTTTGGACTCACATGCAACCTTAAAGCTGGAAGGTCGCTTTGGGTCCAATGGATACCTTAAAGCCAACACCTTAGGTTTAAGTTTTAGGGTTTAAGGTTTAGGTTTTAAGGCTCCACACCCTGGAGTGCCATTTGGGGGTTTGCTGCAGAATTAGGGGTACCTCTTTGGGGGCCCCTTGGGAAACTACCAATGGAGCCAGGCCGCAGCGGCTGCACCGCCAGGTCTCTCCATCACATCCCAGGCAGTTCTCCACCTGCCAACGGGGGATTTAGGTTAAGATTTTAGGGGAATTTCGTTACTTTATACGACCATAATATAACTCTTACAGGGTCCTGATGAGAAGGGTTACCAGAATCATCTGGTTAGATATGTACCCTTGGGATATGACAGACCCGCAATGATGCAATCGCAGTAGAACTATGCGTTTGATAAACGGCCTAGATATGGCGGCTGTCGGGCAGGGGGGGTATGCAATGCACCCTCCCTCGTAGGGATTTTCTAGGGGGTAAATAAGGATACCAAAAAAGCCATGTAACGATTAGAGAGAGGATAGGTAGGGACATAACATAGAGATGTAGTCCCAGTTACAGTACTGCCCGTGCGCACTCTTGCGGAGGCTTGGGCACATTTCGAGAATTGCACAGGCAGCAACCATACAGTAGTCGAATGTAAAGCTTCCAAAGCTACCAACGTGATCTGTAGTTTTAACATTCATACGACACTTTACAAGGAATCTAGGCCCATAACATTGGTGATCTTGCAGGCACCTTTGGTACAAACTGACGAGGCGTTTCTCTTGACGAATCCTTGTGCCGGCACTTGTTGCTCCTTTGTGACACCTGGGTTCTTGAACCACTTTGAGCATCCTAAATTCCACTTCAGCTGCTCCACAAGAGCCAGGGCTTTTCAACGGGAATATAAAGCCTGTCGAGTTTCGGGCATTACTTTACCATCCCCCAAATCAACATAAAGCCTCAAAACGGCCTTCTTAAGACGACTGTCTTTTTAAGCAGGGGCCATACGCAGTTCCGTGTTTGTTTTGGGTGAGCATGGCTTTCAGAAGCCTGAAACCACGCATAGTGAGCGTTACCTGTACAAGCAAAATTGGGCGAAGTTGCTGTAGTTTGCCTAGCCCAGTACGGATTCAAGCTGGGATTCTACACTTGTGTCCTAATAGGGCAAAGGCTGATCCATCAGGGGTCTCCATTGTCTGTCTGCCTGCCTGAAGTGCATTCATCTAAGAAGCTCATGCAAAAGGACACATGATCATGCGTCTGCATGAGGGCCCTCCATTGCTTGCAGTTGCCCATCCTGTCTGAGTGCAATGACTTTCTTGTGTTAGTTTCGCACCACATGTATATCACCTTGATCCATAATAACTGCCTGGGCAAACCCGGACACCCACATATTGAAATGCCCCTGTAACACCTAAAATCCGGCCCCCCAAAAAATACCCAGCATGCATTCGCCGCACAACACACCCTGCAAGCCCTACATGGGCGTTCCATTGCCGCGCACCCTCCAAAGCGCTAGCAACCTTATCATAGGGGCTTTTCATTTTTCATGCCGTAAATACCTCAAGTACTATCAGCCTGATGATGAACATCTCCAATCAGGGGAGCTCTCATTTTCAGAAACTCCTACACTCTCCCAAACTAACATGGAAACCCATATAGCCCCCTTTTAAAAGGACTGTAGTCTTTATAGGGCCCTTTTTGGGTTTCCATGTTAGTTTCCGGGAGTGTATGTACACCCCAAGAAAGGCAAAACAGATCGGGTGGAGCCTGGCAAGCCTCGCACCTCAGTTTTCTTTTATTTAGGGGCTATATAGGGATTATATTGGGATTATATAGGGATTATATTGAGATTAACTCAGTTTTCTTTAGCATTATCCCAATGTAGCCCGAATATATAACTTCTTATGATCGTTCCCATGTTCTTTTCCATTATCCCTATGTAAACCCCTATATATGCCTTGTAATCCCTGTATAACCCATTATAGAAGTTTCCATTTTCTTTTCCATTATCCCAAATATAATCCCAATATAATCCCTATAAAGCCCCAAGATAACCCCTATAATCCCTATAGTTTCCATGTTCTTTTCCATTATCCTTCGGGTTAGCAATACTTGCATGAGCTGATCTCCACTGCTTAGGATGTCGAGCTCGGGATTTGAAAGCCTCTCACTCCCCTGAAGGGTTATTAGGGTTTAGGGTTTAGGGTTCAGGGTTTAGGGTTCAGGGTTTAGGGTTCAGGGTTTAGGGTTTAGGGTTCAGGGTTTAGGGTTTAGTGCCCCAAAAGCTTGCTGTGATGTTAAACGCAAAAACCTTCTTGAAGGCGAACAGGCTGTGCTTCGAAACAGGGATCCCGTGACCCAGACACCTCTGAATTCTGAGGGGTACATGGGAGCTTCCCTACATACGGGGGCCCTAGTATAGACCCCAATATACTAGAATCCTTATTATAGGGACCTCCAAAGAGGCACTCCCATTTTTGGGAAACCACCACATTTTTCATATGAGGGTGAAGACAGGCAAGCGTAATGTGAGGAGAATGCATTAATCGCTACACAAATTCAAGTACACAATAGAGTCCATGCGCCATCCCTGACGTACCCCCTATCCTAATCACTTGAGGGGCAATATGGTCATAGGATCAACACAAGGTCTCGTCGTAATGATACGTTCTTGGCAGTGGCTTTGTCCATAACCGTTGTGCTAGTGATGAACATAATCTTTTTTTTGCAATGAAAATGACGAAAAAGCAAATCAACGGACTTGAAAATGTTTCTAAAGAGAGCCCACTGTTGAGGAACATGATACACAGGAACCCCATCAAGCCCTTTGAAAAAACATCTGTTCACGCCAAAAGCCTGAAATGATGCCATCTTTTTGGAAACTTTCCGCATATGCCGCTAAAACCTAAACCCTACATAGTGTGCCATGAACCCTGGGTTTTTTCCTAGCCCATGCCCCTATATTTTCTGAGCTTTTCCCTCGTTTGCCCATCCCCAGACAACTTTAATGACTGTAGTCCCCCAAGACGTATAATAGAAATAATCTTAATGATTCCTGGCGGCTATACCATACTAAAACTTAGAAATAATGACTAAGAAGACTACAGATGAAGGGGAACCGGTAGGCTGTAGCCCCAAAGCCTAGACCCTCAATCCTAAGACAGAAACCCTAAACCCTGAAGCTTGTGATGATTGAACCCAAATAATCCAATATATACCCAACAAACCCAATTTAACCCAATAGACTCAATATAAAACTCTGGGCTCCCCCGCTCCATGGAAATCTTGTCCAAGCCAAACCCAGGACTGCAATCATCGCAGCCGTGGAGACCCGAAGACCTGAGAAGGGCCATTCTGAGGCCCCTAACCTTACCTTTGGTGAGCTAGGAATGAAGGGTTTGGATCCTTAATCTCTGAAACCCTAAACCCTAAACCCCTAAACCCTTTTTGCAGGAGGCTTCTCGAACCCCTAAACCCTAAACCCTAAACCCTAAACCCTAGCCTATATAGTTATACAAGCCAGCATGGTAGTTGCCCCTTTCTGATCCAGTCCTTCATTCCCAGCGAACCGAAGGTAAGTAACATGGGCTCTGCATCCTTGGGTTCCTAACCTAGGGTTAAGGTAGGGTTTAGGATTTAGGGTTTAGGGTTTAGGGTTCTTTCGGGCCTGGGGTTGCACGTAGTTCTAGATCCTGTGCTCAAAATGCAGAGATTTGTGGGCAGGATCTGGGATTCTGATTTGTGGCCGGGGCCTTTCTGCAAGCCTTTGCAGTAGGCTGAGCGAAAAGCTGCTGAGCATGGTCATCCCTAAACCCTAAACCCTTGAAACCCCATAATTTACTCTCGCTCTCTCCTGCAGACTCAGTTGCCCATATTACCTATGATATGGTAACTTAAGTTACTGAAAATCAAAACCAGCCCAAAGCAGTGCCGAAGTTGGGCAAACCTCGGAGTATGGGTGACCCAACTCCTACTGGAGCGTGCAGTACTTCACAAAAAGTAAAGGACCTGGCAAAGAGCTCTATCGGGATTCTTTGGGGAACTTTGAGCTCAGGGGCAGAGGGTCAAAAGGGCGTGTAGCCGAATTGTGCAGAGAGTAGTCTTTGCTATGGGGTTCGATCCCAGGAGGATTTGGCAAGCCCCCTTTGTGGCATAGCATGGCGCTAGCTCGGCACTAACATCTGTGCCACTGGCAATCTTAGAAAAGTAGCGACATGGATGTGTCTCGTTTTTTTTTGTTTGGACACACGGCCACCCTCGCCCCCCCAACCTAAGCACTTCCTGCAAGCCAATTTGGGTGATTTTGAGAATTCTGGTAGGCGGAGCCTCCAAAATCATGCGAAGTCCAGGTTTGGGAGCCCATGGTAGGTCAGATGATGAGCATCGGGCGCTTATTTGCATTTAAGGAGGGGAACCCACAGGTGGTTTCTAATACTCATCGCAGATGCCGAGCTAATCTACGCGCCATTTTGGAGAATGAAGAGGCGGATCCCTACAATATCCCCATCATCATCCCTATAAGGGTTTAGGGTTTAGGGATGAGGTGGTTACCACAATAGACCCCAATATGTTATCATGCTTACTGAAAGAAACGGGTTGGGATGTTGGAATACCAGGAGGGCCTTCTCAACCCTGAAACCCAAAGCCTTCAACGCTTAGACCCTAATTAAACCCCAAACTTTTCTGGGTTTATGGTATCGGGCTTAGGGTTCCCGAAGCCCTAAACCTTTAAACCCTAAAGCCAAACACGACAAGAAAGGCAAGCTTTAAGCTCAGTCTCGCACGAGCAGTTCCGGCAGTTCTTGACACATGGATGGCACTTCCAGCTGTGCAGGACCTGGATTCCAAGTCTCCCCTTGATTTCATCTTGGGGTTTCCGTGAATAAAGGTCCCTTGTATAAACCCAAATGTACTACAATCCTTGCTACACTCAACATGATAGGGATTATGAGGACTACCAACAAGGAGCCTCTAGATTTTGCAAACCCCCACTTGTCCACAAGACATACAGGTGCAAACTTCTGGACCGAAGCTTGCACGTGATGTTGCGTACGAAATAGAGATTTGTCTGCTGCAAGGCTCCGACCGAGGACCTAGCAGAACACAACAGCAAGGGATGAACTTCAACGGCTGAGCCCCTGTCATATCCAAGTTCGCAAGCAGTGCATTCTGTATGGGAAAACGGACACTCTCGGCAGCCGTCCGCACCTGACAGAAAGGCCAACATGACAGCATCCTAGCGCCCTGTGATAAAACTCCTTAAGTAGATAGAATATGGAATTGACCTACATTGTAATACGATCCCCATATACCCCATATTCTATCTACTTCAGGGGGACTATAGCTTGACTGAGCTCGCCGCATTTGGCGCATGTTGAATTCTCCGCTGGGCCCCATCCATGTTCGCAGCTTTCGCACCCACCGTTCGGCAGACACCTCCTGTAGCGGGTTTTGATTTGGAAGCCAGTGCCAGTGCAGCACCTATGTCACTGATGACATTGCAACCTGGCACAAAGGCAAGGTGATCCTGCCTGCAGTGGGGCCCACCCTTAGCAGCAATCACTTCCAAATATGCTGTTGTTAAGTGATCCCAGATCCCAAGATTCCGGCACACTCCGAGCATGTACCTTGCAAACGAAAGCGCGACATCTGCATCCCTATGCAGACCGAGGCCCACCAGGGGTTTCATTAACAGTCTCAGACAGGTGACCATTTGTGTCGATGCCCAAACCGTGCTTGCACTCCACGCACTCGCTCAAGTCCTCGAAGCAAGCTTGATGCAACTGCCGACCATGTGCGCAAGCTCAGTAATGTGGCAGTTTCCCAATTTAGAGGAAGGACTATAATATTTTGGGGTCCATGCTATAATAAGCACTATAGATCTTTGGGGTCTATACTACAATAAGGATTAACGTATTTTGGGGTCTATACTAGACTAAGGACAGTAGTATGTTGACGTCTATGCTATACTAAGGACTATAGAATTTTGGGGCCCATGTTGTGGTCCCCCTATTTAGGGAAACCACTCTGTAACCCTCATATAACCCCACTTTCCATTTCATCTTCCAGTGTCTTTTACATTTGATTCTCCATTAATCAGGATAATATCCGTAAACCATGCGTATCCTAAACCCTAAGCCCTAAGCCCGAGACCTTAAACCCTAATCCCTCAACCCTAAACCCTAAACCCGAGACCCTAAGCCCTAAACCCTAAGCCCTAAACCGTTAACCCTAAACCCTAAATGGTGCCCTAAACCCCTCAACCCTAAACCCTAAACCACAATGTGTCCTCATCAAGGCAGCGTGAGCAGTTGGCGGCCTTACACGGCTGACACCTGCAGAGTCAACACCCGGAAGCGAAGCACCAAACATAAGGGCTCAGGGTTTAGGGTTAAGCACCAAACATCAAGGGTGGGGGGTGTAGGGGGTACATAGGGGATATGCTGGGGATATATTGGGATAATGGACATGAAAATGGAAACTACTAGCTTTAACGGCCTGCCCCGTTGTAGCCCAAATCCATCTTTGCAGCCGCCACTGTCGCAGCCAATGGACTCCTCACTTTGCAATGCGCATGGGACCGGCCTCTTTCATGCGCACACACACGCGCGAAGGCGGTCCGAGTCGGACATGTTGTGCCCGAGAGCATTAATCTCGCACTTGTCGCCTCAGTAAAAATTCATGCGGAGCTTTGCCTTGCTCTGCAGGTACCCAAATGACATCCGGAAAGCCACGCTAACAAGCAAGTCGCAATCCGCCACACACGGATAGCATTTGCCAACGTGGAAATGCGTGCCTGCAGCGCTAGGCATGCACACTGGAACAATTTGGAACTTACTCTGGCACAGCTCTTGCCTTCTATGCACTTTCCCTCGTCGCAAAGGCGAGGTCCCGCCAGCTCACAGGAAGTGCAGAACTGGGCGCATGCAGGTATCAACCTCAGAGGGGTTGATCATGTCGTCTACATAGGGATGAGCCTAACCCTTCTCAGAAGAAAACATACTCCAAGCTTGTCGGGATTTTTGCGGATTAGATTTGTGGAAACCAAGCCCACTCAACAACATGGACATTGCTCAGGGCATTCATGTGTTACTGATATATAACCTTGTGTCGGTCTGGAAGGCTGTTCTTGAAGTTTCCAAATCAGGTCTGCAAATACATATGTGGCTTCTGAAAGAGCAGCTTCGATATTTTTGAGGTGCTATCGAGTCTATGTGTCATGGTCATTTTCAGGCAACCTGTTGATTATTGGGTTCAACAACCTGGCATGTGCATGCTGTAAGCGACCGGCAAGCTTGCCATCGCGGGTGTACCAGCCAATGCGCTGCCTCAATCGCGGCTGCTGCAAAAAACACCTACTTGGAAGGTCAGGGGGACTTTGTAAGTAGTTTAAAAAGAGGAATAACTGGGGTTATTACATGCGCTATAGGGGATATTAACCTACTTACTAAGTCCCCCCGACGGGAATTGTTGGGAAATTTGGGAATAAACCCTTATAGAATCCCACGCACTTTGAGGTCTACTGGAAGCCCTGGAAGCTGCAAGATGCCAAGTTCTAGGCTGGTCGGATTCTGCGCCGTCACATACACCATATACGTTGATGGTGTGAATGCTGCTGGCGCATCTTCCTGCATGAATGGAGAAAACATACCAAACGCACTTTAGGTCCCTATCAAACACCCGTCTTGCCTCCTGTATGCCAGGGATCAGAAACGTGGCCTCAAACGGCTGAAAGGTCTTGTACAGCTTCTCCTGAAACCATAGGAGCTGTAGTCTAAACTCCTAAATCCTCCTTGATAAGGCCTACAATAGGAACCCTATATAATCGACTATATAACCCCCTTTGAGGAGTTTAGACTAGGGTTCACATGAGCTCACAAGGAAAGCATGGAGCCAAACGCATCCTGCACGTACATCCTCCCAGTTCAAAGCTTACCTTCCGTTAGGGGTTAAGGGGTTAGGGTTTAGGGATATCATAACCCCTATGATGGAAAATTGAAGATGTGGTATAGAGTTTGCCTTTGGGTAGCTGGGAATTAAGGAATGGAAAAGAAAATGGAAACTACTACAATCTGTTATATAGGGACTACCATAAGGATGCATTCCTTCATTCCTAGCTAAGCAAAGGTTAAAAATGTGGTCCTTCTTGAGCAAATCGCTATAGATGTGCGGGGAGAAGCCGTGCTGTTCCAGCCAATGGTAGGCCTGACTCCTCGCAGGAAAGAACCACGTGTTCGTCCATGCGCAAGTCCCTGCACTTCTCAGAGTCATCCCCGAAACCTTCACATAACGCTTGGAGGGGAAAGGTGATCACGACTTACTCATACACTATAATCCCTATAATCCCTGTAGTTTCCATTTTCTTTTCCATTATCCCTATATAACCCCAATAATATATATGGCGCGGAATTGCTATAGTAGGTGTTGAGGACAGCACCCCTCCAACTAAGCCCCAGCACAAAGCACAGCAAACCAAATTCTCTCCTGACGGTTGTGGCACCTGGTGACCAAGTGGCAATGCTGGGGATGTCATGGAGAACATGTGTGTGCATGCTATGCGGGTTGTATACAAAGATTGAAATGGGCATGACGCAGTGATTGTCATGTAGGTAGACTGAGTGGACCATGAGTGTGCATTGTCGACAATATGGACACCGTCTCTAAGTGTGTGGACACACCATGTTGCCCTAAACCATCTGGCTAAGATCGCAACTTCCGGACTTGAAGACGCCGTTGTTGTTGGCATCGTTTCCTCTCATGACCTCGCCACTTCTCACCCTGTAGACCCTGATTGATATAATAGGGTATACATTGGGTTTTTATAGGGATAATGGAAAAATGGAAACTACTGTTTAGGTTTTAAGGGTTTAATGTAGACCCTTAATTAATAAACCTGGTCCCCTTAATGGGAATTATACTAGGGATCCGAATATTAAGGCCCTCGAAAGGAGGGGGATGCGGGGGATGATTATTCATGGGTCACATTATGTTTGAAAATCTGTTCATGCCAAGCATTCCGGCAAACTCCCCACTTTACCCTGAAAGCTAAGGCTGTTGAGAAGGAAATCTTGCACCAACTCAAACCCTAAAAGCCTTCCAAAGTATTAGGAGTTATGAGCCACACAAGTCTAGGATGGTGCAAGATTTCCTTCATCACGCGTAGCATCTTCCCGGAAATCTGCACTGTCACAGCTCAGGCCATCAGGTTGGCCGGGCATGGTTTAGGGTTCAGGGTTCAGCTTGGATTGCAGGCAGTAAGGAAGCCGACACTTAAAAAAATCGTGGAAGGCTCAGGCCCGCTATCCTCTCCCACAACCTCCTTGAAAGACTGCCGTAGGCGTTGTATGTGGTTTCATGTTAGTTTGGGGCAGGGGTAATCCCTATACAACCCCCAGTATAATCCTTGATATTCCTCATACCCCCTAATCCTTCCCCATATCAGCCGTATTTAATTCGTATACAGCTCCTGCTTCAGCAGAGGCCAGCCTTCTATCCCATTTGACACGTTTTTGCTTTCTTTTGTTCTTATCGTTGTCCCATCAAGTAACACAAAGTACCACGTCATCGTTGCTATGTAGTATCAATGTACTAGCACTATTGGTAGTAGTAATTAACGCACACCCTAAACCCTAAATATTAGTACTATTAGTCTAGTACTATCAGTAAAATTAGGTTTAGGGTTTTTGGGGGCCTGTAGCGATGATGGCGTCGCAGGCTGCGCCGCATACTCCAGGGCCACCCAATGCAATCCTTTGCGGGTTTTAGGGTTGAGGGTTTAAGGTTTAGGGTTTCAACGGACCACTGATGGATCGGTGATCTGGCTGAAGCTTCGGGGCGTAAACCCACCATGAGCGCGAGTCTAGACTCCGAGTATCCCCGTTTAAAAAAAAAAATTATTATAGTCCCCTATAGAAGCCGCTATATAACCTCCTTGAAGGAGATTAGACCCTAAACCAAAAAAAACATATTATATCATCCGCTAGACAACCCCCCTAAGCAGTTTAGACTATAGCTCACGCAGGATCTACCTAGTACACCTAATCAGGGCTTGGGTTTTAGGGCTTCGGGTCTGGGATCTGATCTTTAAGATTTCACCGCACGGTTAGATGGGGGGTACTTTGGTTTAGGGTTTAGGGTTTAGGAGATGGCACAAAACTGGTGAGGTCCACCATGGAAATGACTTATGGGTCCCCTTAGTAGGGAATAAGGGAATATATTATATGGGTTATATAGGGATCTTATTCCCTAGGAAGAACCAGTAAGATCATAAGGGGTGTCACAACTTGCGTGTTGTCCTACTTTGTGGGTTAACTTCGCAGAGCTTTTGGGCTGTGCTTAGGGAATGCAAGGAGCATGAGTTCTTTGCTTCAAGATTTGGGGCTTCAGGGCTACGGGAAGGGCATCCTGCGGAAAGAGCATTGGATCCCATACTACAAACC